TCCAAACTTACCTTATCTTATCCAGTCCCGTTTTATCTCAACCTTATCTTATCTTATCTTATCTTATCATATCCTAATCCTACCTTACCTTATCTCCAGTTGCAAGGGGGATTCCTTATCACATTCAACCACTTCTAATTTGATTTAAGGAGTCCTAAAACACTGCAAACAACTCAACACTTTTAGACCACAAAGTAGGCCGTGCCCTAGCCCTATAAATACAAGTTATTGCCGCAGCTTTCAGGGGGTTTTTAGAGAGAAAATTGGTGAGAGTGCCGTAGGTTTTTGGAGGAAAGAAGGAGATTTTGAGTTGTGCTTGCAAGGAGAAGAGGAGCCGATTCTGCCATCTAGAAGAAGAGCTGAATTTGCCATTGCTGGAGTGTCTCAGAGTTCTTTCTATCCTTATTTGATTTCAATGTTTAATTTAGATTGTTTTTATTTAGTTATGACGAACATGCGTAACTAAATTTGTTTTTAGCTAGAGGTGAATTCGAAGCCATGATCATATGTTTCGTATGAATTGATTACATCCAGTTATTGTTTCATAAACCGTGAATGCAATTTACTTATCTGTTTTATTAAGAACTTGTTCTTGTGTGTTGATTAAGGGTGCACACTTAGTTTGCATGTAGAGATTTGATGCTAGAATATAAGGGAATTTCACCTAATTGTTATGAACTTATATTTACAAGTAGTAAAAGTCACTAGTCATGATTGTGTTAAGTAAATTCCTGGTAGGAGTATCATGCTTTTTATAGTTATGAATGCCTTGTCAATGCTTATGATTTTCACAGAACTTAATGATCTTTGATATGTATCTCTATCATGTTGTTCATATAGGGAACTTGCAAAGAATAATTTGATTGCGTCGCTGAGTCCAATTCAATGAAATTAGGAAAATCTGAGTTAATTAGTGTTGTTCACGATTAATTTGGGGCATTGTCGTTCATGGTTTATAGGAATAATAACTGGAAATCGATTTGTATGGTATGTTTCATGTGTGGAGAAGAATCCTCTAGCTAGCCTTTCACCCAATTTTCGTACGAAACTCACTTTGTTTCTACAACCTACTTAGTTTTAGTTTAAAATTCGTCCAAACAAATCCCCCTTTAGTATTTCGTGCCAATTTACTTCAATTTTTGTCCAAAACACCCCTTAGTGCTTGTTTTGTGTTATTTGAGTCAGTCTAGCTTAGTTTTGTGTATTTGAGTCTAGTTTTCAGTTTTTGAGTCAAGTTAGTTTAGATTAGCATCCCTCCTAATCCTCAGCCTAGAACGATCCCTACTTATGCATACTACAATTATCTAAAAAAGGGTTTAATTTGTGTGTTAGTTTTTACCACATCAAACTACTTTTTGACCATAATAAACGTAAATGACCTTTACCTTCATGTAGTTGGAGAGATTTTTCAGTTTAACCGTCACACGAGGTGGTACACCACGTGTCTTTATATAAATGGTGGGATATGTGTGTTAAAAGGTTAATAACTTAAAAATTTAAATTTTCCATCATTTACATAGAAACACGTGATATATTATTATCTGTGTTCGCGTCACAACTGAAAATTTCTCATGTAGTTGACAGTTTGATAGAGTTCAATTACCATCTTTGGGCTAGGGCCAGCCCTGAGGGGTGCCAGGCGTGTGACCGTACATGGCCCCCGATTTTTAGGGGCCCCTGAATTTTAATAACTTTTATAATGTACTACATATAAAAAGAGTGTGAACGTATTTCACAATGTTACCTTAGGGGAATTGTCAAGTACTGGTACTGACATTTGTTTTTTTAAGGGTTCGAGTCCCCGTAGAACTCTTTTTGGGCCTTTTTTGAACTACATTAATTTTTTTCTTTTCTCTTTAATATTTGTAGTTTAATTTCTATCATTATAAAAGATAACTTTTGATGATAAATTTATGATTAGGAATATCATAATTAATTAAAATCCTTAAAAGTTTGAAGATAAAATCTTTAAAACCCCCCTTTCCATATATGATATCATTTACTGCATACATGTCATTCATTTATTCTTTGGTCAACTTTTAAGGATCGTCTAATTTTCATTCTATTTGAAGACCATTTAGTCATATATATATATATATATTAAATATAATACAGCTTTTCTCACAACACTAAAGTGGAGGTGAGCAGGTGATGCTTATCCCTTATTGATTACCGTTAAATTAATTTGGTTTAATTGATTTAAGACACGAATCTCGAATTCTAACTAATCTAACGACAATCAACCAAGTGGGGGTTAGAATCATCCTCACTTGAGGGAGTGAGAAAAAAATGTAATAAAAAAGCTAACAGTTCATTACAAGATGTTACAATATCATAACCAGTGATTTTTTTAACTAGTTCATAATAAAGAGCATGAGTGATGCGATGAAAGTTAAGCACTCAAATTAAACCCTCTTTTGACAATTGTAGTATATGTATAAGTAGGGATCGTTCTGGACCGGGGATTAGGAGGGATTGCTAATCTAAACTAAACTGACTTACAAAAAGAAACTTAAAAACACTTAACTAGACTCTATAGACTCAAAACACTTAAAAACACAAACTAAAACAGATTCTAACTAATTAGACACACTAAAGTAAAGGGAGATTGGGTTTTGGACGAAAATAAAGTAAAACAAAACAGAAACTAGAACTAAACAGATTTGCACGAAATTGGTTATTTTGGATGGATGATGGGCTAGCTAGAAGGTCTTTCTCCACACATGACACACTTGCATACAAATCAATCTCCAATTGCTTTTCAATAAACTATGATGCTCAACACCCCCGATTAACCGTGATGCACAAATTAACCCTCAGATTTTCCTTTACTCATTGAATTGGATGAATGCATAATAGAGATACAATTAAAGATCATTAAGTTCCATGAAAATCATAAGCGTTGACGAGGCAATTGTAACTATGAATGCATGATACGTTTGCCAAGAATTCAATTAACGCGATTGTGACAAGCAACCTTCACTACTCATGAATATAAACTTGTAACGATTAGGTGAAACTGATTTATATCCTAGCATCAAATTCATGCATGAAAACTAAGTATGCATCCTTAATAAACATACACAAATCCGTTATGAATAAAATAGATAATTGAATTGCAATCACAACTTATCAAATCACAATTGGAAGAAATCAATTCATATTGCAAATATATTCATGGTTTCGAATTCTCCTCTAGCCGAAAGAGGTTTAGTTCCTCATACTTGCAATTAAACAAAAACATTTGAAATTAAACATTGAAAACCAAAGTAGAATACACCTAGAATGCTCCAGCAATCCAAATTGAATGACTAGCACAACTCCAAGCAATCCTCCTTCCTTGCAAATATGCGGCACCAAGGTGTGAGTGGTGAATGGATGGTCTCTTGTGGTGGTGGATGGATATAGGTGAGTTATGGTGAAGGGTGGAGAGTTGTGTAGATGATGTGGTGTCTTTGGATGATGGCCCCCCAAATTATGGTGAAGGGTGGATGTATTTATAGGCTAGGGAGAGGAGTGTATGGAGTTGTAATGAGTGGATGTAATGGGTGTAGTGGGTGAGTGTTGTGGTAATGAGTGGATGTAATGGGTGTAGTGGGTGGATGTTTGGTAATGAGTGGCTGTAATGGGTGTAGTGGATGAGTGTTTGGTAATGAGTGGATGTAATGGGTGTAGTGGGTGGATGTTTGGAGAATGGATGTGTTGGATGAAATGAGTGGATGTAGTGGTAGGTGAATGTGTTGGGTGAAATGAGTGGATGTAGTGGTAGGTGAATGGATCTGTTGGGTGAAATGAGTGTGCTAAAATGGTTATTTATAGGGAGATGATGATGCACAAACTTCAAATTTCGTCCATTCCTTTTGCTCCAAGCATATGCCATCCATTCCATGCCCAAAAATGCTCCAAAATGCTCCAAAATGCACTTCTTTGCCACATTAACCCTTTGGACCTACAAACATACGAAAATAGCTTAAAATATTAAAATAACTACGAATTAACAACATAAATGCCAAGAAACAAGCTAATTAAGTCGCATAAATATGCTCCTATCAATGAGTTGTTCTGATTATAATATATGTACGGTGATATGATATGTACATAGCCACCACATCATGCTTTTTGTATTTAAAAAGTAAAGAGTTTCGAACTCAAAAACATAAGGAATGCAGATACAGAGCCACCAAACCATGCTTCTTTTTTTATTTATTTTCTTTTGTGTTTATATCAATTTATACACAAAAAAAAAATATAAAATATAAAAGAAAATATAGCAACCAAAATTTAGACCTTGTAAGGGTCTCCGTTTGAGTCTAGCATAGGGCCTCCAAAATCTCAGGACCGGCCTTGCCTTGGGCCAATACAAGGACCCGCTAGACCAGCTGGAGAGGCAAGCGATGAATAAGACGTCAACACGTGTAATCTGTCAGTATGTTAGCGTGGGCATGTGTTAATATGTGTTTTAAAAATTGTTAAAAATCACACAGCAGTAAGAAAAACAAACCACGAGTTGCTACATACTCCTCGTGTAGGAGAGATTTTTCAGTGTGACCGTCACACGAGATGGTACACCATGTGTTTTCATATAAATGGTGAGATATGTGTGTTAAAAGATTAATAACTTAAAAATTAAAATTTCTCACCACTTACATAGAAACATGTGGCGTACCATCTATGTTTCCGTCACAACTAAAAATTTCTTAGCCCCATGCATGAAGAGTACGTAGTGTGCATGCAGAGAAATATAGAAAAATGAGAGGCCCCCTCGTAGGACAAGGAGACGCGCCCAAGACTGTTTCAAACTCCTTTCCAAGTATCCAAACTTACCAAAACTCCTACAATCCCTCATCATCCTCTGCATTACCCTTGTCAGTCCCACCTGTAGCCCTTGTTTCCTTTGCCACCTCTCTCTCTCTCTCTCTCTCTCTCTCTCTTTCTCTCTCTACCCCTACGCTTTCTTCAGCCCAAAAATTAAACCGACATTGCCTATCGTGGCCACACCCAACATACTACCCCCCCTCCCCCCCCCGCCCTCTTTCTCTCTCTTTCTTCCGCCATGGGCAACTGTTGCTCTCAATGCAACACCGAGGATGCCCCAAACGACGACAATAAGGGTGACAACAACTATGCCGCGGACAAAAACCCTACGGCTGCCAATTCTGCCCCCAACCCCAGCCACGCTAATCACCATAAACCTTCCGCCTCCCCAACTCACCCAGGAAAGGCCGCCAAACCGGGCCCTATTGGCCCCGTCCTAGGCCGCCCCATGGAGGACGTCCACACCACGTACAGCATTGGCAAGGAGCTGGGACGGGGCCAGTTCGGTGTTACCCACTTGTGCACGCACAAGGCCACGGGAGAGCAGTTCGCCTGCAAGACAATCGCCAAGCGGAAGCTGGTGAACAAGGAAGATATTGAGGATGTGAGGAGGGAGGTACAGATCATGCATCATTTGACGGGGCAGCCAAACATTGTGGAACTCAAGGGAGCTTATGAGGACAAGCAGTCGGTTCATTTGGTCATGGAGTTGTGCGCAGGAGGAGAGCTTTTCGACAGGATCATCTCAAAAGGACATTACACGGAGCGCGCTGCCGCTGCCTTGTTGAGGACGATTGTTCAGATCGTGCACACGTGTCATTCCATGGGCGTTATTCACAGAGATCTCAAGCCTGAGAATTTCCTTATGCTCAATAAAGATGAAAACTCTCCGGTCAAGGTTACAGATTTTGGTCTATCCGTCTTTTACAAACAAGGTACGCAGTTAAGTACAACCATATCCCTTTATTTCATTCCATTTGGGTAACAGTTAAACCATATACATATTTTCAAGCTTTGGTTTTAGCCTTAGTAATTATGTCTGTAAATTTAACCTAATTTGATTCTTCAATGTTAATGGTAGATAGGAATTCTAGTTTCTTCTTTTCAATCAGCCAAATAATAGGGTTTTGAACTGAGCACTAATATCATTAGATTAACTTCCAATCGACGAATATAAAAAAATTAATATTCTATGTGATGATGAGTGCAGGAGAAGTATTCAAGGATATTGTGGGGACTACATATTACATTGCACCAGAAGTGTTGAAGAGGAGATATGGGCCAGAAGTCGATATTTGGAGTGTTGGTGTCATGTTGTATATACTTCTCAGTGGTGTTCCTCCCTTCTGGGCAGGTATAACATAATTTAATCAATCAGTCTATCAATTAATTGAGAGATTGAAACTAATTATGTATGCAAGAAAGAATTTATTATAAATTACAAACTTAATAATTGATTGATTGACAGAATCCGAATATGGGATCTTCAATGCCATCTCACGAGGCCACCTCAACTTTTCAAGCGACCCATGGCCTTCAATATCAACTCAAGCGAAAGATCTTGTAAGGAAGATGTTGAATTCAGACCCCAAACAGAGATTGACAGCCTTCCAAGTTCTTAGTAATCATACGTTTACATATATAAGTTTTATTTAGTATATGCATCCCATACATGATTTCTAACATGCTTTTACATATATAATGTAATGGTTTTCAACAGATCATCCATGGATTAAGGAGGATGGCGAAGCACCTGACATTCCTCTGGACAACGCTGTGCTCAGCAGGCTTAAACAATTTAAAGCAATGAACGAGTTCAAGAAAGTTGCGCTTCGGGTATGTCGTTCATCCTTTTATCTCTATCGCTCACTTCACCATAAATGCAACATATATCTACGCATCTGCGTTTGATGTTTTAAGTTCTGATGGGTTGAAGAAGCGTGTTCAGCATGTTACTTAATTTTGTTGAAATGAACATACTTATGTATATTATATAGGTAATTGCGGGTTGCTTATCAGAGGAAGAAATCATAGGGCTAAAAGAGATGTTCAAGGGCATAGATACAGATAATAGTGGAACAATAACACTTGAAGAGCTGAAGCAAGGACTTGCTAAGCAAGGGACAAAGCTGTCTGAACTTGAAGCTCAACAATTAATGGAAGCAGTGAGTACTATTTTCTTATGCATTACATGTGCATGTTCAATTGACATACACATGCGTGTAATTTAGTTTTATAAACTACGTTAATTCCTAGTACATTTAGTTCTGATTAATGTCTTTTTATTAGGCTGATGCTGATCGCAACGGAACCATAGACTATGATGAGTTCATCACAGCAACAATGCACCTGAACCGGATGGATAGAGAAGAACATCTCTACACTGCCTTCCAACACTTCGATGCCGACAACAGCGGGTATGTAGAGATCATATAATAGATGTTTATTCTTTTTCTTTTTCATAATCCTCTTAAATTTCAATTACATAACACGTGAGTAAGGTTATAACTCATCATCATCAACATCTTATTTATAACAATGTTGCCAAAATGCATTCTGGTTATCAGGTATATCACGACGGCAGAACTAGAGCAAGCCCTCCGCGATTACGGCATGCATGATGGAAGGGATATCAGAGAAATCATTGCTGAAATTGACGCTGATAATGTAAGTTTCATATCAACATTTGTTCATGCATGAGTTTTGATTAATTGAATACAGAAAGTTATATGAAATTAATTGTGGTGCTAATTCACATATTTATTTTCTGGATAATGTTCTGCAGGACGGTCGAATTAATTACAATGAATTTGTGGCAATGATGAGAAAAGGAAATCCAGAAGCCAACCCGAAGAAGCGGCGTGACGATGTATTTGTTTAATCAATTTTTAACCTGGGAAAGTGGGGCCATCACCGTTCGTAATTTTCACACCAATAAATTAGTTTTTGGGGAGAGAAACTTGGGTGCTCATGGATGTTCATCATGTACAGCCTCTATAAAAAGAGAAGAAAATGGGAGGGAATGGGAGAGGAGGTGGCTCAAGAAAACTCGATGTGTGTTGGTTGCTGGCAGTGGCGGAGCCAGAATTCTGAATGAGGAGGGGCCTTTCACAAATATGTATATATATATATGTGTATATATATATATGTGTATATATATATATGTATATATATATATGAGTGTGTGTAAAAAGTTGAATTCATAACATGTTGACATATGCAATTTGTGTAATCCTCACAAAACTGAAAAAAAATTCTCTTAAATTCAATACTAAGAAGAAAAAAAATGTAAAAACCCAAACAACCAAGTAAGAGGTAGGCTGTGGAAGGCTAAAGAAAATACAAAGAAGTAGAAAAGAAGGAAAAGGGGGAGAAGTCTGTAAATAAAGAAGGTGAGTTGTTTTAGAAAATTATAGGGTGTATATTACTGTTAGGTGAGAGAATCGAACCAGAAATGAAGTTGCTTTTTCCCTTTAAAATTGCACATCTCTTTTAAAACTCCCCTGCCAAACTTATCGTTTCATTAGACAGCCGAAAAGATTTAAAATCAAAACAGCTTAACGACGTCGTTTGCTTCATCTTCTTCCATGAGGTTCACACCTCAGATGAAGTTAGGATGGGCCAGGGACTACCCTAGTCCCTTGATGGCTCCGCCCCTGGTTGCTGGGGTTTAATTATCAATTTGAGGGTGGTAATTAAGTTTAATGGATATCGTATGGTCACAAGGTTCTCCATCTCCCGCTTTTGTAAAAATTGTACCTGTCAAATATATTTCATCGCTAACACAAATGGTTAGGAATCGGTTTGTACGTGTTTAACTAATGTGTAATCTATTATTGTCCATTAGTAGACTTCGTGTTGACTTGCTCACAAAGACAATAGACAATGCTTGCACAATCTTTTCTAGTTTCTTAGTTTGTATACTTTTCTTCTTAAACTTCAGGGTAATTCTCAATTTATTATCCTTGAGTATAGTTGTAGAGCAAAAAATAATCATAAGGCAACACATGAATTTTTGGAAGAAGAAGACGAAAATACCCTTGAGGAGCATCAGGTTTCCTATGTGCGAGTAGCGGGTAATCATCTTCAACCTAGTAAAAAATACCCAAAAAAGGTAACCAATTCCAAGTTATTTCTTCCATCCTCATTTTAGGTGGTTATTTCATAACCTCTAAATTATTCCATTTAAATGGAGATTAATTAGCTAATTAATGAATTAATTCCTAAATAATTCATTAATCAACCAATTAAATTATCATTTAAGCCCAAAATTACCCTAAAGGCCGGATATCCCTTCTCCAAAGGGAGCCGGCCATTTCCCTCATTTTTTTCCACCATAACTTGCCTTTTTGTGATGTTAATTAGCTAATCAATTCGGCCATTATTTGATTGATTAGCTAATAATACCATAAAACTCACAAAAACATTCCCTTTATAATGTTAATTAGCCAATTAATATATTTATTCTTAATTAATATATTAATTGCTAATTAAATCACCTAAATGCACCCAAAATTCATCTCTAAGGGCCGGCCACCCCATTCCCTATATATATGACTCTATTTCTTCTAAAAAGCTAGTTCAACTCTCTTGCTAAAATTCCAAATACTCTCTAAACACTTTTCTCTCTAAATTCTAACATTGGCATCAGAGGTTCTTCGGCCAAAGCCCCCCCATTCATCGTGGGCGTGTGAGGCATTTGGCCTTGACCCTAAGGTGTAATTGTTTTGTAGGTGCAATTCCGAGACAAAGGAGGCGAAAATTTGCATCCACAAATTGGTGCTCTCATTGAGAGCTGAAATCCATACTCGTAGAAGACTCTCGCACAAAAAAGTTTTTTCTCTATTTTCTAGTCCATCTGAATATTTTTCATACGTCCTTATTATTAGAATTTTTTACTTGCAAAGGTTCTTTGATAAAACGTGTAAGAAAAATATAATGGCTAGAAATTTAGAAAATACCACAAGTGAAAATTCTAATAACGCATTGAGCAGCTTGCTCCCATGATCCAGCCTGCTCCCGTAGCCCAGCCTGCTCTAATGATCTAGCCTGCTTCCGTGATCCAGCCTGCTCCTGTAGCCCAGCCTGCTTTCATGGCTTCCCAAGTAGGCCCGAGACTATCTCAACCATCCAGACCAATCATCGAGGCTGAGGCGTTTTCACCACATTTCTTCGCAGATTTGACATTCCCCAACTCAAATCTCACACTCGAAGTCAACCAACCTTCATTGTTCGAAGAGGTGCATTCCATCCAAGTTCTTCCAATCCAAATTGCGAACAAAAATTGTCCCGACAAGTTATAAAATTGACGAGCCCCTTTGCACAATAAACAACCTTGGTGAATCAACTTTTGCAACGCACTGAGATCCAATGTGCCCCAGATGAAGTATCCCGAAGTAGGACAAGGGTAGACGAGGAACCTTTCAAGCAGTGTCCTGGAAAACAGTCGTTCAACCAACCACAAATCGAGCATTCAGGCAGTGCACACTCTCAATTGGGCCCTCAAGATAGCGTATACTCCCGTCTTAGTGCGCGGAGGAGAGTGCACTCTCGACTAGGCCCACGGGTAAGTATACATTCACGGTTGGGGCCACGCTTTGATAATCAACATGGGTAGCCTTCCAGGCAAAGCATTCATTCGGAGTTAGGTCCGCAAGAAGTATCCTCCACATCACATTGGAACAGGCAGCCCAACAAACGGAAGGAAACAATCATTCAATCCAGTAGCCTGTAAAGAAATCCCTTGCCTGCTAGGAATCTATCTTATACACCACAGCCACGACATAGACGAGCCGAGCGTGTAGAAGAGCAACCTAGACGGCAGGTAAAGACTAGGGGCAACTGAAGGCTCCGCTACCCTAACAAAGGCAAATCCAAGAAGAGGTAGAAAGGCTTTTCAATGAACGGATGCGTGATTTCCGACGCAACGAAATGGTTGATGAAACACTAAGGCGAGATATGACCAACATAAGTAGGTCACCTTTCACGGATGAGATCGAGCAGGCAGAGCCTCCACGCAAGTTTAGCATGCCGCACTTCACATCTTTCAAAGGAGACGGGGATCTAGAAAGACACTTGAAGCATTACCGAAGCGCGATGGTCCTTTACAGGAATAATGACGCCTTTATGTGCAAAATATTCACCATCACTCTACAAGGCGAGGCACAAGATTGTTTTCATACATTGCCATCGCGGTCCATCCAGAATTTTGATGATCTTTCCTTGGTTTTCACCAAAGAGTACTCGTCTTACCGCTCGATCAAGAAAAAGTCCGATCACTTGTTTAACGTAAAGAAAAACCCAAAGAAGTCACTTCGCGCCTACGTAAAAAGATTCAAAGTAGAGAAGGCAAAGATTGTCGGAAACGTTGACTCAATAGCAAGTGCAGCCTTCCAAAAAGGACTTCCAGCAAACCACCCACTGTTCGGATAAATGATCATGAAAGAAGACCTAACTCTAGCAGATTCTTTTGCCCTGGCAGAGAAGCATGCACTTTGGGACGAGGCTCGACGAGCAGAAAATGAGCCTGAGCAGCTTCGAAGAGAATCGACAGTTGCTCAAAAGAAGGAGGACGGGAAGTAGCCCAATAAGGGCAGGCAAGAGGCCAAGCGCAAGGAACGACCCACGACCAAAGAAGGCCTGATAAGCAAGAGCTATTCTAAGTTCTTAATTTTGATTCATCAAATTCTTCGTGACATCAAGAACGAACCATGGTTCAAGCTACCGAAATAATCAAAGGGAGATAGTTCCAAGTTGGACCACACCAAGTATTGCGTATTCCACCGAGGTCCTGGTCACACAACCGATGACTGCTACACTTGGAAGAACTACCTAGAGAAGCTCGTGAAAGAAGGCAAAGTCGATAGATACTTGGACAAGCCAGCTGCGCAGCAAAAAAAGAATGCAGACCGAGATGAGGAGCCACCAACCAAGATGATTCGAATCAGTGGAATTTTCGCAGAATCCAACCACTTGGGGGCCACTAATAACTCCAAAAAGAGGAAGATCCAGTAGGCTTTACTAATCTCACAAGTCTAAGCAGTCGATACCCAACCTGGACCCATTATTGACTTCACTGAGCAGGATGCAGAAGGCGTCGATTTCCTACACGATGATGCACTAGTAGTATCTATCCAACTAGCCCATGTTATAGTTGACAGGATGATGGTTGACAATGGAAGTGCAGTCAACTTACTTCAACTCTCAGTCATTCAGAAGATGGGCCTGGAAAGCACAATCATACGCCGAGCAGAGGTACTTACCGGATTCAACGAACACACCTCAACTGCCATCGACCATATCATACTTGACGTAAAAACACCGCTAGTCGTCTCAAAGCAAATGTTCATAATCGTAAGTGATCCGTCTCCCTACAATGGGATTCTTGGAAGACCTTGGTTGATCAAGCTGGATGCCGTTACTTCCGTTAAGTATCAAAAAATCTGATTCCGTATCCCGGCAGGAGGAGTCGGAGAAATCAAGTCTGACCAGGTTTCATCCCGACGGTGCATTGTGCAAATGTTGAAAGAATAAAAAAAGAAGACCTTTACCCTCGTAGATGTTATCGAAGTGCAAAAGGACAAAAAGGATACCAAATAGCAATTACAGCAGGTGGATCAAGAAGATGGGGCCCAAGAAGACGAGATAGGATGGAAATCCGAAGAGGACGCCGAAGACATCATTCTTGATCCCCAGCAGTCGAAAAAGACGGCTAAATTGGCTCATGACTAAGCCCAGACGAGAAGGAAGAACTCATGATTTTCCTTAGAGAAAGCTGAGATATCTTTGCATGGTCACCATCCGACATGCCCAGTATTGACCCCAAGGTGGCCTGCCACAAGCTACATTTCGACCCTACTGCCAAATCGGTAATCCAAAAGAGAAGACATTTCACACCCGAACGAGTGGCGATCATTGAGGCAGAAATCGACAAACTATTGAAGGCCAGGTTCATAGAAGAGGTAGCACACTCGGCATGGCTTGCTAATGTCGTACTAGTCATGAAGAAAGAGAAGGGCAAATGGAGGGTTTGCGTAGACTACACTGACCTCAACAAAGCATGGTAAAAAAACTCTTATCCTATCCTCTGAATCGATCTATTAGTAGATTCAGCTTCTAGGAACCAGCTGCTCAGCTTCTTAGACGTATACTTCGGCTATAATCAAATAGCCATGTATGAGCCCGACAAGGAGAAAACCGCGTTTGTGATAGAACGGGGCACCTACTGCTACAAGGTCATGCCCTTTGGCCTAAAAAACGCGGAAGCCACTTACCAAAGGCTAGTAAATATGATGTTCAAAAAGCAAATTGGGGTAACCATGGTAAAGGGCAAGCAGCGATCAGATCATATTTGCAATTTGGCAGAAACTTTCAATATCCTTAGAAAGTACAAGATAAAGCTCAACCCTACCAAATGCACGTTTGGAGTATCTTCAAGCCGATTCCTAGGGTACTTAGTAACCCAACGAGGAATTGAAGCACATCCTAAGCAAATCCGAGCAATCTTAGAGATAAAGTCTCCAATTACCTTGAAGGAGATCCAAAGCTTGACCAGACGAGCAGCTACCCTCAACCGCTTCCTCTCACGATCCACTAATCGATGCAAGCCTTTTTTCAAAGCTATCAAGAGGGCACAAA